AGACGGAGACAACGTATGCGCGTGTAGCGTCCTCTTAATGTAATTTAAATACATGTTATTATGCGAATAGAATTTATCGAGCACAGCGATAAAACTTTTTTTACATATCAAAAAATAAACTGTTGGTTTGACATTTTTGACAATACTCAAAATTTCATTGTAAGTCATAGGTTATTATAGGTAGTCATCTATATTCTATTATATTAAACTTAAGAGGACGCTACTTCCTTATGTGTTGTCTCCGTCTATAAGTGCATAACATACCAAATTTTACGCTCAGCAGATCACGTTTAGCTCCGTTAGCTTAAAATTTAGAGTGAGTTGACCTCTTATAAAAATTAAAGGTTGATATTATTATGGAGGGGTTCTCATAGGCTTTTTATTATATTTTAATTTTAAAATTATAAATTGTTTGTATATCTACATTATGTATTATTATTATTATTATTCGTTTTCCAGTTTTAATTTTTTTTTTTTATATTTTCATATGCTTATGGAACAGATCCCTTTAATAATATTCAAATATTGTGAGAAACTTTTGCACGAATCACACTGCACATTATAGTTTGAAATCGATTTTTTAGGTCTCGATCGATTTGATATTGAGAACATTCATCCCTATCCGCCAGGGCCGTAGCTGGAACAAATTTTCGAGAGGGGTTTTTAAATCAAATAATATTTTCATTTTAAGTAATTAAAAAAACGATTATTTAAAAAAAAATCATATTTTACTATATTAATGTATTATAATTGTTTTAAAGTACATTTATATTACATACAATATACAATATTATAAGTATATGGAAAATGGATTGACAAATTAAAAATCCGTACCAATAATACTATTTTATTTTACCTATTTTTTTAAACTGTATATCCGTATAATATATAGATACTATATTATATTATTATTGTGTTTATTTCGTGCCTCCTTACGGACTAACATCATCGTCAGGCAAACTAAAACGCGTCGAATTCTATGTCGCCCCCACCACCCACAGAAACCTACACACGCACCCCACCGCCGTCGACGAAGCCAGCACACCCAGCGTGGTCAGGGGGTGGAAATATTTTACACACGCCCGTCGCCTTAAATTCCTCTGCCAGACGACGCGGTAGACTCCTCGTGGTCTGCATGCTTCGTCGCCGTGTTTCGAAACACCCGTCGTCCCATTTTACTACTCTTTTTCGGCATTATAATAAAATGTATTCTGTTACGGCCGCGTCGTCGTCTTCGCTTACCACCACCGCTGGGAGGCAGCTGTGGCGGCCGTCGTCGTGTGTTCGACGCGTGTGCAATGTGCATGCGCGCGCGCACCGCCGTCGCCGCACTACGCGTGAGTGCGGAGAAGCAATTGTCTGGGCGGTCGACTGACGGACGACACCGGAGACACACACCGCCACACGGCCACGCCGGTGGTAAAGAACGGCCACTGTAGTCTATACACTACAATGTTATACTCAGTACTGGACCGGCACGCCAACCGTTTCGGCGTGGTTTATTCACCGGCTGCTCGTACAAAATATTATGTTGTGTAGTATAGTACATTTCGTCGGTACACCGATGCACCTTTCCATTTCCGCCCACACGTTTGTTTTGTGTATTACGTAGACGATGGTGTGAAAAATGTGTTACTATTGTTGCTTAAATTATAATACTTAATAATATTACGACGGTTATTAAATTAAAATTAAATCTTTCGAGTATTTATTTTCGCTGTTCCGTCGAACAATGTAGCCTACTCGAGATGCACTCAAATTAATCCGATGCAATTGCCAAATTTTATACGTCGTTTACCTTTCCACGCTCTTCAGTTCGACGACGACTCATAAATCTATCGGTGTTATTTTTACGGACTACAATTATTCAAACACACGCATTACAGGTATTTACAGGATTGTTTAGTTTTAATTTTTTCAATATTTTGGTATCAAACTGCAAGATACATCTTTGAATCGAAAAATATACACCTTTTCTAGGGCCCTACTAACACATGCTAGTTTTTTATTATTGACAATACACTTAAAAATAAAATCTTATCTACTAGTTACTACATTAAAATATATGAGTAATCGATCCTGCATGATTACGGTTACACTATTACCTGAAGTCGTCCTGTTTGACTAAAACATGTAATTTTTATTTACATATTCTAATATGTAATAGACAATACCGAATAGTAAATATAATTAAACCGAAACTATTGTATTAATAATTTACAGAAAAGTCCGATAAATTATGTTTAGTCGTGTAACTGAAAAAAACTGGTAACTCGGTGGTACCTATTTAATTGAAGATAATATGAGTCAAATGACCATGACGTTTAATAAATATCAATATATGGTAGGACTGTAGTACTGCTACTTGGTAGATACTTGATCTAAATACACTTTAACAAACATTATTTATGACTTGAGTTATTTATTTTATAGTTTCTGTTCAGTTTGTCTTGGATTTTTCAATATTTTGAATTAAGATGTTTGTTTTAAAAATGAATGGCATAAGATTGGACAATATGTTTTTCAGTTTTCACCTATAGTTGGCAGTTATACAAAATTAAGAATTACATTAGATAATGTATGTATAACGTGACCATACGTCCCGCTTTCTAGATAAGTATCCCGCTGTCCCCAAAGAACCTAAAAATGTTCAGCTTTCAGAAAAGTCGACTTATGGCATGTGTTTATTGATCACATGTTTACAATCATACATTTTATATTGTACCTATACAGTTAACAGTATATGTATACCTACAAATTTTACATATACTGTAAAACACTAAAACTCATAGGCCATATATTGTTGGGAGTCTTTTATGATTAATATATTATCTGCGTTTTTATAGAAACAATTATCAATGTTTTTTTTTTCAAGAAAAAAAATTGTTATTTTACACAAAATGTATATGATTTTCTTATTAAAATGTACAGGTGTCCCGCATTGAAGAAAAACAATTATGGTCACGTTATGTATATTTGCTTTAAATCTCGGGTCTTTAGGTTATTTATAATTTACACTATTCAAAGCTTTTAAGCCAAGACAACATTATAATAAATAAAAGTGTTATCACTAATGACTTCTAATTATTCAGAATCGCTATTGAGAAATTACGTCCATTAAAGGGAAAATACAATTTAAAATTTGTTTATTATCTAATTCTTATTAAGTATATATTATGTACCTATTTACTACACATATATACAATAAAATAAAATCAATACACCTATTATAGGTATAATTCAACTTCTTAAACCCTGACGATCTATCATGTTGTGGTTGATAAAATTATTAAAAATTTTAAAAATTTTAAAACTATTTCATAAACAAATAAATCACTAAATGGGCATATTTTTGATTTTAACTTCTTCAAAATTTGGAATATGACAATTTTTTAATTACCTACTTTTTTTTTGTTAAACATATTTAGTAATTTAGGGAATAAAATAAAAAGTTTGGGAAAATCGATCTTAGGTAGTCTTAACAACAAATTTTAATCTTTAGAATTCTTCAATAATCGTCAAAGACAGCTTCGGCTACCCCTTTCTTCCAAACAAGTCACACTACATAATAAAATCTTTATGTATAAGCCATAATAGGTACCCTTCAAACCAATTTGGTCCCATGGAATTAACTTCTAGGGATCAGTCAAAGCTACCTCCGGCAGATAACTAAAGCTTCTTTTTATGTATCGAATTATACCCTCCACAGGGACCTCCTCATTCGGACAGCTAAAAATGTCGCTAAAACTCTATATAAACGTTTCCACCTTAAACTTTCAAATCACCAAAGCCTCTCTTCTCGAACAGTCCCGAGTGATCCTGGCTGATGTTTAAACCACAGCTGATGCCTTGACAAAAGGCCCATCCCATAATGACAAGTGGCAACTATTATGGGGTGGTTGCAAAAACATTTAATAGCGTTGACAGTCTATAACTTATAAGTAAAGGTTCATTAGGTGTCGTGTGGTCCACTGTATAATGTAAGGTGTTAAATTCGAACTCAATGTTAATATCATTGTACACGAAAAACAATTCTGAGCGGAGACGGTCTGTCAGTCAGCCTATATACTCGTAAAAATATGTTATATAAGAATAATTAATATTAGGTTTTAACCCAAAGTGACTGTATGATGTATGAACTATTTATTAGAAAACTTGTTCTACATTTTCAATTCTTTGGTATACAAACTGAAAATTTTAGAAATTTTTAAACGCAAACATTTTTCGAGATTTTGATAAGTTTATCAAATTCCGAACCTAAAATACTTATAATTATAAAAATCGTGCCTTTGTATCTTTAATATTTTTTATTAATTGCTAATAACAACTGGTGAGGAACCTTGTATTAAATTTTAAAACTTACTGATCCAACGAAAAATTGTTTTTAATATTAAAAAAATTTAAAATATAAAATAATAATATAAAATAAAATATTGTAAAAAGCATGTGAGGTCGTCGAAATAATATTCTTACTTTTAAATTTTATAAAAGTTCAATTCATTCTAATTTTTAAAATAACGCAGCTAAACGTGATCTGTCGAGCTTARAGTTTGTTATGTTACGCGTTTGTAAGACGGAGATAACATGTGTGGGCGTAGTACTCTTAATAGTCTTAATCTTTTTTGTTTTTATATACATATTATCAATTATGATTATGTTTAACTTTGATTTAATTCTTCAATCTTTATAAAAAATAAACATTTATTAAAATTATATTGTAGTATAGTACTGAAGATCATTGGGTTTTTAATGGAAGATTAAATAAGGTAGGTCTATATTTCTTCAAAAATTTAATAAAGATGTTATTTCACGGTGCTTCTGTCCGGATGCCCAATGGGGACCACTGGGACCAGTATAGGCCTGATGAAAAATAAATTAAAAAGTGATAATATTTTTTTCATATTTTTCAATCACTTTGTACTCAAACAACAAGCTGATTAGGTACATCAAAAAATATTTTATAATAAAAGTTAAAAATAATAATATATTTTATAATATTGTTATCGATGATCAACGGCGTGTAACCTAACCGTGTAAATTTGTATGGTTTATCGTTTAACGTATGTTATACTTATAAATTATACAATACATAATACATATTATAAATATTATGCATTTATGCATTTATGCTTACATATTTTATAGATAATGTATTATTTAAGTGGCCAGGTTTAAAACTTTAAATTTCAACTGTTCAGTTTTTACAGAAAAAAATTAAATCCTTTCAAACCTTAATGCAAACGTAATTTTTATGAGTGGAGGCCCATTATGCATTGTAATTTTCATAGGGCGCATCGTGCATCTGCCCAGTTGACCGATGGGCCAATACGGGCCTCTGGCCGTGACCTACTATAGTCGACTAGTTGACTAGTCCACTAACAACTATTATCCCTCCATGAAGTGCTATTATTGAATAGCTTCTTCAATCAAGCCAACCATGACCTATTGGCTATTATGCATCCCTCCATTGTGCTTATTGTAAATATTTTAATATTAAATAAATATGACGAAAAAAAAATTCTTCATTAGATTAACTGGCAAAGAACACGTCCTATGTCGTGCCTATGTTAGACGTCCTACAGAAAATTACGGTATCAAATCCCCTTAAGAGGTATGAATATTATCTGTGTTCTTTGTTCTCTCGTTGGTTTTTTTCGATATTTTATATTTGAAGAGGATTATGAGAATTTTCAAATATTAATATTTTAGATATTCATTACTCACTTAAAAATTTAATAGATAAATATCGTATGAAACCAATGAAAGAGTGTTCTCTCATATCATGTTCTTGGCGTTCTTGCCTAAAAGTTAGACGGTAGGTTTATCCACCCTAACTAACATCAAAACTAATACCATATGGTATATACTACTGAAACTAGTAAACAAAAACACATTTTGTAGTACGTGTCTATAACAAACGTGGGTGCGACGTCCTCTTAAATAATTTTTTATATTTAATATTGGTTCTATATTTTATTATATTATTTTACTTAATATTATTTATTCAACATACAAAAAAAGATGGTCAAGTGGTTACAAGGATATGTCGAGTGGGTCTCTATAATGAATTTAAATGATTCTGATCGGAAATGGATTAAGGTACTATAAGTATTATAAAAGGTTAATTTTATTTTTGCGAAAACCTTAATTTTATTATTATAATCTATACTTCTCTGATATTATATTATTGTTATCAAATTTCGAGTTAATACTACCTTATCTTACAACAGTTTAAAAAGGTTCGTGATATAAATAAGCAATATCTTAAAATTAATTTGAAGATTTTAAAGATTTCATTACAAATAGTAAAATTTATAATTTTCCCACGAATATTTTTGAATTACAACGAAATAATTGACATCGTTTGTTTTTCGTTTTAATAATATTTAATTTCGACTGAATTTAAATTTTAAAAGTCTAAAACACAGTTAAAAGTGATTTTTTAAATAGTTTAAATATTATATTAAAACCATGTTGTGCACCAGATGTGGATTCAAGCAATGGGATGAAGCGGTGCTTAATTTGAATACATATATTATAGATATTTTTTTGTGTTAAAATGTTAAAAAATAATAATATGTGTGAAACTATGAAGTGTAATAAATGTAGGAATTTATGAGAATTGCGATGACTTCAGTTGTTGGACATTGTTGTACAATAAAAAATGCTGTTGTATGGAAGGTGGGGATAAAACACCAAATGAAAAATTTAATATACAATGGATATAAGATTTTATTAGAACAAAATACTAATATGAATTACACTAAGTTAACTGAAAAGGCACGGACCTGGTTATTCTCTTAGGACGTAGAAGCGTAGTACATCACCAAATACTTTTTACTTTTGATACTGAGCCCGGCTCGTAACTCCGGCAGGATAGGTCCCG